GCCTTGCCTTCTGTAGGACCTTAACTGGGGTAATTAGACACAGACGAAATATATACGAAATAGACGATACCACCTGCAGAGACCTAGTGTAATGTTTTGTAACGATTCTGAGGGAGACTGAATCCATTTAGGGCCACAGTCGATCACGCAGCATAAAAACTGCAAACTCAAGACCCCACTGCCGCCCGCTCATGAATAACTGACCACCTGCGCAATACGCATGTTGCATGGGTTCCAGTAGAATACATTTCTCTGGGGAAATGCTCCCCGCACTGGACGACTACAGGTTCGAGGATCTGTGGTCTATAAAAATCAGTGCCCGCCTCACCGCCCTACCACCCCGCCCACGCCCCCGTTTCGGCTTCAGGGGTTAAATGGCCAGTGGTGAAGATGTCGGCGGAGGACCGTAATTGCGGCCTAGAAGAGAGGGCCCGAGGGAACGTTGCTGAGTCAGAGCATGCCCTGGGACATAGTTTAGAGCCTGGAGGGAGGCGCCTTTCTCCTCTAGTCACCGTGACGCGAGGGTAATTGGCTCAGGTACGGACGGCGGGGCGCGCTGGCAGGCAGAAACACATTTCGCAGGCCACGCCTCCTGCGCCATGCCCCCGCCCCCGGGCTACGTAGGCGGCCTGTTGAAAGGGGCGGGGCTTCTCCGGAAGCCGGAAATCCCTTCTCGCGGTTGCCCCGGCAGCGCGCGAGGGCTGGTGAGTCGGCCGAGCTGCGGTAGCCAGCTGGTTTCCATAGCGACGCGGCTGGGTTGGGGGGACGTCCCACCGCTGAGCCCGAGGGGGCAGGCGGGGAGCGGCAGTTGGCTGCTGGACGCCCTGCTCAGCGTGGGGCGCGCGGCATCGGGGAACGAGCGCAGCTAGAGGCAGAGAGGAGAAACTTGAGAGGCAATTGTGACTTCTCTTAGGCTGCTGGCTTTTAGTGTGGCTGTACGACCTTTAGGGGTGTCACGCATCCTCGCCATGCAACCACCTGACTGTATAAAAGCGCTCTGAGAGAATTTTAAGGTGCTCGTTCTCAGTATATTATATATCGCTGTCAATGAGTGTCGAAGTGGTTTTGTCCCAGTATCAGGCGACTGGAGGAAGAGTTAACTGATAAGAAGGAAGCACAATGGAGGAAAAGGAAGGGATAATTGGCGGAGAAGCACAATCATTTGAAGAAAAGCCAAATAAAATAATAGCTTTGCTTTGTCCTATCTCTGGTTCCTCAAAGCCAGTCTACTAACCTTGTCCTTTTTCCCCTACTTCCCTGGAAAAAAGAACCATTCTTTCCCCTTCTCTTTCCAGGAACCTCCAGCTGCCTCATCCCATGGCCAGGGCTGGCGTCCAGGTGGCAGAGCAGCTAGGAACTCAAGGCCGGAACCTGGGGCCAGACCCCCTGCTCTCCCCGCCATGGTCAATGACCCACCAGTACCTGCTTTACTGTGGGCCCAGGAAGTGGGTCACGTCTTGGCAGGCCGTGCCCGCAGGCTGCTCCTGCAGTTTGGGGTACTCTTCTGCACCATCCTCCTCCTGCTTTGGGTGTCTGTCTTCCTCTATGGCTCTTTCTATTATTCCTACATGCCAACAGTCAGCCACCTCAGCCCTGTGCATTTCTACTACAGGTGAGAGGGGTCTTCTTTCCGTCAGAGTAGAGGAATCCTAATTGAAAATTGCTGCAAGGGCCCTTGAAGCCCTTATTTAAAGAGGAGGAAACTTGAGCCCATTATGCTATTAGGACTTTTTCCCTTCACAACCCAAGGCTGCTGCTGGACTGGGCTGGTAGGTCCTAGTTCTACCTCTCTTGTTGAATTCTGGTTAAAAACCAAAAAAAGGGAAAAGATGCACTTTCAGACCATCATCATCAGGGTCAATTCTCTTTAGGTTGGATGAGACCTCTCAAGCCACTGTAGAAGTTTAGCCAACCCAATCCCTTGGGCATCTCAGAAGTAGTAACATAGCTTTCAACAAAGGAGGAATTAGAAAATATCTCTTTCCCTTTTACTTTACTGCCTCCTATTCCCCAACAGTCTGCTACGCAACAGAAATTGTGGAAACACAAGGTGACTAGGTACATAGACTTGCCTTTCAGAGTCCAGCTTTTTGCCTGGTCCCTTAGTTCCTTCCCATTTTATACATTGCTGGATTCTCTGTACTTTTCCTAACAATGGCCATAGGACCAATCAACTGATGCTGATAATTTTTTTTTCAGGCTGGTGGAATGGCTCAAATGGTAAAGTGCCTGCCTAGCAAGCATGAACCCTGAGTTCAAACCCCAGTGCCACACAAAAAAATAAAATAAATTAATTTTGAATTATCATATATTAATATTGCAAGGTGATTTCATTGTGATGATTTCATACATGCATACAGTGTACCTGATTTCATACATGCATACAGTTTACCCCTCCATCGTATTTTCCATTCCATCTCCTTTTCCCTCCCCGCCCCACTTACAGTGTTCGATAGGTTTCACTATGTTGTCTTCATATGTATATATGAAGCATATTTCCATTCTCTTCACCTCTCTTATCCCTTCCCTCTGCCCCCTGCCACCAGACAGTCCCCCATATACATTCATATCCCATTTTTTTTCATATCCCATTATCTTTTGAACTTTTAGGGGACATGGGTCCTATGAAACCTGTGGCCCTTCCTGCCATAAAAATGTACATACACACCCAGAGATGCTGCACATACCACATGTAGTTTTGCCTACAATTTGAGAGGTTTCATGAGCTTCTTAAAGATCCTTTGGGAGGAGTTTTTTCAAACTAGGCCCCAGAACAGAACTTTTGAATCAGATTTTCTGGAGGTGGGATCCTGGAATCTACATTTTTAGCAAGCTCTTCAAGTGAGTCTTTAGAAACCCTAAGTTTCCATAGGTTCCTATCTAAGAATGTCTGCTTAATGAAGTGCCAGCAAGAGAACTAAAGAATTATTCTGACATCTTGATTCTCCTGGATAGAGAACATTTGTTCTCTATCTCAAATGGAAAGAAGGGATGATGTCTTAGGGGGCCAACAAGGTATGTGGATAGACAAGCAAGGCAGACACTGTAACTTAGAGTATCATTGCCCCCTTCTCATTTAGGACCGACTGTGATTCCTCCACCACCTCACTCTGCTCCTTCCCTGTTGCCAATGTCTCACTGGCTAAGAGTGGACGTGATCGGGTAAGTATGAAAACTAGAGAGAAGTTTCATGAGAGTTTTGATGACTTGAGAAATATGTGGAGAGTGGTGATTGAGTAACAGACTAAGAGGAAAGGGAGGTTGGAGGGCAATTAAAATCTAAGTTATTTGTGTGTTTTGATCTTTCTGCAGCAGACATTAGGAATGTTCTCATTCTGAGCATAACAGGTGAGACAGGACTTGTTTCAGAAAGGTTATATCTACTAGATTAAGTAAGTAGTGTGTTTTAGACCTGAGTGAACAAACCAGCTTTCCAATTGGACTAGCATGGCGTCCATCCAAGAGTTTTAAAAGCTTACATATAACATTATGAAATGGTTGATAAATATGTGTGACCTGTTCTACAAAGAGTACTGTGCCAAAGGACTGGTCAGATGCCAGTGTGACTTCAACAAACCTGAGAACTCTGATAAATGCACATGGCAACTCAGCCTTCTATATTAGCTAAGCTGGCGGAGGCTCTTATAAAGGATAGGATCCTTGAATTTAAAAAGGAACTTAAAGGATCAGCATCATTTCTGATTACTAGAGGTTTTTTTCTGATTCATCATGATGAATCAGAAACGTAATTAGAAGTAGTCAGTGGTGCTGGGTGCTGGTGGCTCACGGCTGTAATCCTAACTACTCAGGGGGCAGAGATCATGGTTCAAAACAGCCCCAGGAAAATAGTTTGTAATAATCTATCTTGAAAATACCCAACACAACAAAAAAAAAGTTTGGCAGGGTGGCTCAAGTGGTATACTCCTGCCTAGTAAGTGTGAGTCCCTGAGTTCAAACCCAGTACTGACAAAAAAAAAAAAAAAAAAAATAGTAGTCAGTGGTAAAACTTACTAAGAATTTTAAAAATCATTTGAAAATTATTTTGCAAAATAGTATTGGGGAGGAAACTGACTTCAAGATAAAAATGACAGGACTGGGTAGCAAGGATGAGGCCCTGGGTTCAAGCCCCAATACCACCAAAAAAAAAAAAAAGCTGGGCTCGAGTGGCTCACACCTATAATCCTAGCTACTCAGGAGGTAGAGATCAGGAGGATCACAGCTCGAAGCCAGCCTGGGCAAATAGTTCATGAGACTCTATCTTGAAAAATCCCATCACAAAAAAGGGCTCGATGTGTAGGCCCTGAGTACAAACCCCAGTACCACAAGAAAAAAAAATGGAATATATTAGAAGGGGATTCAAAACAAAGCAAGCCCCAGTACATCTGTAGCTAGGGCAGAGTATACAGTTGTGTGGCTGCCCATTGAGAGATCATCATGATGAATCAGGGAGCCAAGGGAACCAGCCTAGAATAGTCAGGTGTGAGGCTGCTAGATGAAAAAGGTAGGAAAAGATGAAGAATGAAAGGAGATTGAGCCCAAATCCCTGATAAACAGAGGAGGGTGAACATTTTGTTCACTAACAGTGAACATTTTGTAGTGAATTAATAAGTGAAATAGTATGTCCACTCTATGTGTAACACTTTGCTAGAAGTAGATAATGTGGTTCCTGTTCTCAAGGAACTCATAGAATTGATAGAAAACTATACATTCATGTATTTGCAGACATTCCAGAAGAACATGTGAAGAATTAGAACAGTATAGTCTGGGATAGAATGAAACTATGGAAATGGTGAGGCTCCAAGTGTATGTTTTAGAGAAGGGTAAATACTGTGTGGGAATGGTGGAGAATGTGCCATGAAGCAGACAAATGATGTGAACAACGGTATGGACTTATTCATCAGGTCCTAGGATTAGTTCTGTGGATGCCCTTGGGGGAAATTACACACACACATGTACATAGACATTTATTTAAATTTTTTTGACAGTACTGGGGGATGAATTCAGGGCCTTGTGCTTGCTAGGCAGGTATTCTACCACTATAGCCATGCCCTCAGGCTCCCAGCCCTAGAGATGGTTCTTTTTTTTTTGGTGGTACTGGGGTTTGAACTCAGGGCTTCATGATTACTAGCCAGGTGCTCTTACCGCTTGAGCCACTCTTCCAGCCAGCCCCAGTGGGACTTGGGTGTGAATTCAGGGTTTCCTGCTTGCAAAGCAGGTGCTCTACCACTTGAGCCACACCTCCAATCCAAGAGGTGATATCTTTATTTATTTACTTTTTTATTGTTCTGGGGTTTTAATTCAGGACTTTATGCTTGCTAGGCAGGCATTCTTATCACTTGAGCCATTCCACCAGCCTTAAAGAGATGATATTTTTAACCACCAGTTTAAACAAAGCAGGCATTCTACCACTTGAACCACACCTCTAGTCCATTTTGCTATGGTTATTTTAAAGATGAGGATCTCTTCAACGATTTGCCTGGGCTGGCCTCAAACCATGATCCTCCCTATCTCAGCCTCTCAAGTAGCAAGGATTACAGGCATGAACTACCAGTGCCTGGCTGCTAGGGGCTTTTAAAAATTATTATCATTATAATTATTTTACTGTTTTAAAGAACAGCTTTATTGAGGTATAATTCATGTCACATAGTTCACTCTCAAAATATACAATTCAGTAATTTTAGCATAGTCACAGTAATACAACCATGACAACAATCAATTTTAGAACCCTATATCCATTAGCTGATAGTCACACACACACACACACACACACACACACACACACACACACACACACACACACACACACTCAGACACTCATATTTCCCTGCAACCTATAGGTAGAGAACTACCTATTTTGATGTTTCAAAGTATTAGTGAAGCAACTGACTTAGAATCATCTGACCTCCATGGGAGAGGAGGAAAACCTTTGCTCTTGTGCTAAACACTCAAAGCACCCACAAGACTGTATCTAGATTTTAGGGGTGGTTCACTCTGGGCTATGCCAGTATTTTTCAATTTTTTTTTTTTTTTTGTATGTGTGTGTTACTGGGGTTTGAACTCAGGGCCTACACCTCGAGCCATGCCACCAGCCCTTTATTTTGTGATGAGTTTTTAGAGATAGGGTCTCATGAACTATTTGTCTGGGATGGGTTTGAACCAAGATCCTCCTGATATCTGCCTCCCAAGTAGCTAGGATTACAGCTGTGAGCCATCAGTGCCTGGAGGTACTGAGGTTTGAACTCAGGGCCTCACACTTGCTAGGCAGGTGCTCTGCCATTTGAGCCACTCCACCAGCCCTCAACCTTTTTTTTTTTTTTTTAATTCATTTCCTTTTTTGTTAAAAACAAAAGCTTAGAGGGGCGGGGATGTAACTCAGGGTAGAACACATGTTTAGCATGTGCAAGGCCCTATGTTAAATCCCCAGAGCCAATAAATGTATCAGAAGAATATAGGGATGATAGGAAAATCTAGGGTATGTTTGGAGGCAAAACTTTACCCTTTGAGGTTTATCCTGATGAAGAAGTGCTCCCTTCGTAGGTCTCAAGGTCCTACCAACAGAACCAAGGGACCCAGGCCTGATGCAGTGATATGTGACTATAAGTCCCAGCTATTCTGCAGGCTGAGGCAGAAAGATCACTTGAGCCCAGGAATTTGGGGCTCAAAATAAAGAATAAGAATAAGCTGGGCACTGATAGCCCTGTAATCCTAGCTACTTGGGAGGCCAACATCAGGAAGATCATGGTTCAAGGCCAGCCCTGGCAAATAGTTCAAGAGACCCCATCGCCAAAACAACCAGAGAAAAACGAACTGGAGATACGCTCAAGCAGTAGAGATCCTGTTTTGCAAAAGTGAATCCCTGAATTCAAGCCCTGGTCCCCCCAACAGAGAAAAAAAAAAAGGTTAAGATCCAGAATAATGGAAAGATGAGCTGCACTAATGATGATTGTATGAGAGCTGGCTAGGGAGGCAGAGCACTGCTGGCATTGGTTAATTAATAACATAAGAGAATGCAGGCTGGGTCCAGGGGGACAGCCTTACTGACACACAGGACAGATGGCCCAGTTGGTAACAGGACGGTTCACTTTTGGAAAAGAAATGCAACAGAGCCTTTCTCAGAATAGAATAGCTAGTCTGATTCAGCAGAGCCAAAGGGATACAGAAAACTTTGGGGGCAGGGTAGGGGAAGCCACCAGAAGGGGGCAGCACCTTCTTGTGATGAGCAATCGATAGACCTGTTGCGCTACCCAAGGGGTTGTGGCGGAGTATTTGGAAAGGAGGAAGGAAGGTGGAGCGGGGATAGTACCAGTTTTAAAAGTTTTAAAACAAAACGATGGCTACCTTGAACAGGTGCTGATGTATGGACAGCCATATCGTGTCACCTTGGAGCTTGAGCTGCCAGAATCCCCTGTTAATCAAGATTTGGGCATGTTCTTAGTCACTGTTTCATGCTATACCAGAGGTGGCCGAATCATCTCTACTTCTTCACGCTCGGTAAGTGTTTGTGGTCTCTGTGAAGTTGTGAAGCGTGATGACAGAGTCAGAATATCTGGGAAGGGCTTCCAGAGAAGTCTTCCCTGGCTCTGAGGTCAGAGACATGCCAGGATAAGGGAACAGGAATCCACCTACCAAGCCCCAGTATCTGATAAGCATGTTCAGTCTTAGAATAGAGTCTGAAGAGTGGAGCTGCTCTCAGAAAACAAAGGTCCAGTCCTTTGTGGTGTTGCACACCTGAAATCCCAGCACTTGGGAGATGGAAGGAGGAGGATCATGAGTTTAAGGCCAGCCCGTGCACTAGATAACAAGACCCTGTCTCAAGCAAACAAAAAAAACAGGTTTTATGGTAACTTCCTCATAGTAAGACTAGGAGAAAATTCAAAGTTTTAAGCACATAGTGGATATTCAAACTGCATTGAACCCCATTCTTAATGAATTATCAACACAACCACACCATGATTGCATGCATATGGTAAAAGCTTCAAACAATGCACTGGAGCTTGCATCCCACCTGGATGACAGAACTATTTGGGGAAAAGGTAGATAAAGAGACAGTGTTGGGCTTAACCCAGGAAAGTGTCCTGGAGGAGAAGCCTTTACTATATTAGAATGAAGAAATGTGTTTGGTAGGAAGAAGTTATTCAAGCAGTTGGAATGGTTGAGAGGAGAATAGGAAGTAGGAAGTAAAGGTCAGGGGGCAGCCTAAGGAAGGAGCAGCCTTCATGGGCTTTTCAGGGATGGGGGAGGGGTAGAGAGGGCAGTTGGAATCTGGAGCACCTGTCCTATCCTCTCCTCTGGCCCTGACAGGTGATGTTGCATTACCGCTCCGACCTGCTACAGATGCTTGACACACTGGTCTTCTCCAGCCTTCTGCTCTTTGGCTTTGCTGAGCAGAAGCAGCTCCTGGAGGTGGAGCTCTATGCAGACTATAGAGAGAACTCGGTAAGTGAGGTGAAGAATGACAAGGAGAGAGCTCTCCTATTGGCCCAGAATTGCAGCTGAGGAGCCTCTGGGGACAGTGAGGAGGTACAACCACAGTGGCTGGAAATGGGCCTCCATTTAGACTGATAAGAGTGACAACAGTAGAATCCAACACTGCCCTCACCCCATTCCCTTGCAGTATGTGCCCACAACTGGAGCAATTATTGAGATCCACAGCAAGCGCATCCAGATGTATGGAGCCTACCTCCGCATCCATGCCCACTTCACTGGGCTCAGGTGAGGAGCCATGGAAGTGAACCTGGCAGCTCTCTTGAGGGCTTTCCTTAAGTGAAGAAGATCCCAGGCAGAGGTAACAAGTTAACAAAGTAGTATTGCATTGAGTTGCAAAGCCAGAGGTTCTCAGCCCTGGTTACACATCAGCATATTGGCTTCCTGGGGGCTTTTTTAAAAATACCATGTGAGGCTAGGCACCAGGCTCACGCCTATAATCCTAGCTACTCAGGAGGCAGAGATCAGGAGGATCACAGTTTGAAGCCAGCCTGGGCAAATAGTCTGTGAGACCCTATCTTGAAAAAACCCATCACAAAAAAGGGCTGGTGGTGGGGCTCAAGGTTGTAGGCCCTGAATTCAAGCCCCAGCACCAAAAAAACCCACCTGAGCTAGTAGAATGGTTCAAGTGGTTACAGGGCCTGCTTAGCAAGCATGAGGCCCTGAGTTCAAGCACCAATACTGTCAAATAAATAAAAAAACAAATAAATAAATAAATAAACCACATGAGGTGGCACATACTCAGGAGGTTGAGGCAGAGGGACCTCAAGGGTCTGTTCAAGGCCAGCCTGAGCTACATAGAGAGACTAGTGGGGTAGGATGGGGAGAGGGAAAGGAGCAGAAAGGAAATTCCACAGAAGCTAGGTATGGTCCTCTGTGCCTGTAATCCCAGCTTCCTTGTGCAACTGAATCAGGAGAATCACTTAAGCCCAGGAGCCAGGAGTTTGAGGCCAGCCTGAGCAACAGAGCGAGATACCCCTTCAAAAATAAACTAAAATACAGTCTACTGTCTTGACCCACTGGCTCAGCAAGAGTTGGGATGACTTGAGACATGATGACTGAGACTGCCTAAAGTCTTTGGCTTTTATTAGAACCTGGTAACTATGAGAGGGGAGACAGGAGATATAGAGGTAGAGCCCAGCGCTAGCCAAACTCCCTGGAATTCGAAATTATTTCTGGGAAATTTAGAAGGCTGGTGCTGTATGGTAACTGCTACTTTCTTCCTGTCCTGATTTCCTGCCTCAGGTACCTGCTGTACAACTTCCCCATGACCTGCGCCTTCATCGGTGTTGCGAGCAACTTTACCTTCCTCAGCGTCATTGTGCTCTTCAGCTACATGCAGTGGGTGTGGGGGGGCATCTGGCCCCGACACCGCTTCTCTTTGCAGGTCACAAGGGGCAAGGACCCCATTTTTCTTCCTTCATGATCTTTCCTTATGGATGGGTGGGAGCATATTGGAGCTCAAGGCTCAATCACTGGATCAAGAAGTCAGTCCTTGCTGCTTAGTTGTTTCTCCTCCACAGGTTAACATCCGACAAAGAGATAGCTCACGAAAGGAAGGCCAACGAAGGATCTCTACCCATCAGCCAGGTAAAAGGGTTGGTTGGGCAGTGTTGGGGAGGTGGAATGGCCTGAACAAGAGGACTGCCTATCTCCAGTATGAGGTGTAAAGCACTCACACTGAGCTGAGGGTTGAAGGAAAGGCTGAAGGAGATGGAGTTGGTTCCACCATCCAGGCACTGACACTGACCGTAGCTGTCCTATGTTTGCTTTGGAGGCACAGGGCCTGAAAGTCAGGAGGAATCTACCCAGCAGTCAGATGTGACAGAGGATGGTGAGAGCCCTGAAGATCCTTCAGGGACAGGTATGGTGCAGTCCCTTCTTTCTGAGTCCTCAGCTCTCCCCATCAGCACCTGGGTGTCACCTCTGGATCTCACCTGTATGTTTCTTTCCCCTTCTGGCCACAGAAGGTCAGCTGTCTGAGGAGGAGAAACCAGATCAGCAACCCCTGAGTAGAGAAGAGGAGCTAGAACCGGAGGCCAGTGATGGTGAGGGACACCCTGCCATGAGTTGGTCGGGGTGGGAGTAGAACACCCAGCTAATCTAATAACTCTTTTGGGATTGTGTCTTTCCCTTTCCTGGCCCAGGTTCTGGATCCTGGGAAGATGCAGCTCTGCTAACGGAGGCCAACCTGCCTGCTTCTGCTTCTGCCTCTGCCCTTACCCCGGAGACTTTGGGCAGCTCTGAGCCCTCTGTGGGCAGTCTCCGGCAGCGCCCCACCTGCTCCAGTTCCTAAAGAAAAGAGGGCATTTCCTCACATTCCAGCACTTTCCCACCAGACCCTTTCCCCTTGTTTTTCCCTCAATAAACTATTTTGTGCCAGCTGCTTCCTTGACTCTTTGACATGGATTTAAGGCCATTTGAAAATTTCAAGTTCCCCAGGCATCTCCTTCCCCTTAGAGGAGGTTGTCTGGTAGGGGCTGCACATCGAGAAGGCCCCAGCCTTGGGCCAAGGTGGGGTTTGTTTGGTTTGGTTTGATTGAGATGGTCTCTGCTATGTAGCCCAGCCTGGCCTTGAACACACAGTCCTCCTGCCTCCACCTCATGAGTGCTGGGATTACCTGGTGTGTGCCACCATGCACAGCCTGGGTTGTTTTAAGCTCAGGTATTTCCATCCATAAACCAAGGAGAGCAAAACCCATCCTGGCTCCTAGCAGGCTTCCAACTCCATCCATGTGACTCTCATCTCCTCCAGGAGAGAGGGATAGTGTAGGGCGGGTCTAAAGAGCTGGGATTCATCATTCCGGCCTTTACACCCCTCCCTTCTCTGTCCGTTGGGAGGCATAAGACAGGAAATGACTGCTGTAGATGTGGTATAATTTTTACCAAAACAGCATTTTGTAACTCAGGCCCCATGCTATCCACAGCTGTTTTCCCGTCTGATACCAGCCAGGTGGCGGCTCCCTCCTCTCCGATAATATTCCTCTCCCCAGCCCTTCACATGACTTCAGCCTTTGGATTCTTAGATCCTGGCTGCTTTCCACATTCCACTCCTCTGTCAGAACCCAGGAATCCTGGCTTCCAGCTGAAACCACTGCATGTGGCTTCCCTGATCCCTGGCCCCATGACTCAAGCCCTCTGAGGGGACCAGCCCTCTTCTTGGCACTCACCAGGGAGGGGAGTGGAAGAGGGGGCTAGGTGGTGACATCAGGGTTGAAGGGTATAAAAGCTTTCAGCCAAAACAGAACTGAAATTGAAGATACAACCTGACAGTGTGGCCTGCGATCCTGGGGACTCCTCGGCTGATACCCACAGATGTCTGGTGGCAGATTCCCACTTCGTCAAGGCATACCCACTGGTGAGGGGCTTCTGTGGACTTGGGGAGGAGAGAGGACAGGCAGGGACCTGAACTACTTGGGCAGGATTTGCACAGGCTACAGGTGGGGAGTAAGGATTCATTCGAGTGGAGGGGGGGTGGGCCCTTCTTTCCCCCTTCTGTTCTCTTCTTTCTCACTTCTGTTTTCTTTCTGGGTGTTTGCACATGTCGCTGATTACAATTCGTTTTTCTTAGATTTTTTTTCTCTAGGTGGCAGCTGAGAATTATTCCACCTTTTTTCCCCTGGGCTGAGTAAATTGTTTCCTCCTCTTCTTTCCCCCTGCGCTTTGTTTATTCAACTGTTTCTAGGAGTTTGCACATTACTGGCCACATATTTGTTACTCTCATATGTCAGACCATATTTCATTCTTTTCGTCCAAAACCAAGAACATAACCTGGATTCAAAAGCTAGTTGACAGACTGGAGGTATGGATCAAGTGGTAAATCAAGCGGTAGAGTGCCTACTTTGCAGGTATGAAACCCTGAGTTCAAACCCCAGTCCCACCAAAAAAAAAAAAACAGAAAGGAAAGAAAAAGCTAGTTGACAAATGCATGTCTCATTCCCACCTCTTTCCTCTTCCCGTTTTGGTCCTGGAAGGCAGGGGGCTTTAAAGGCTGGGCTGACAACTTTTACCTGTTCACCCTTTCCCTTCCAGACTCCATGCTGGCCTCTCCTTGCCTTCTGTGGCTCCTGGCCATGACCTTCTCCTTGGTTCCCAGAGCTCAGCCATTGGCACCTCAAAAATCAGAGGAAGAAGTGGAGGAATATGAGACAGTGAGCACATCCACGTTGGCTGCCCCCTGTGACTATGACCGTTGCCGCCACCTGCAGGTACCCTGCAAGGAGCTGCAGAGGGCCGGGCCAGTGGCCTGCCTGTGCCCAGGGCTCTCCAGCTCAGCCTTGCGACCTGAACCACCACGTCTGGGAGAAGTGCAAATTGTAGCAGAAGAGGGCCGTGCTGTGGTTCACTGGTGTGCTCCCTTCTCCCCAGTTCATCACTACTGGCTGTTGCTTTGGGAAGGCAACGGGGCTCCGCAGAAAGGCCCCCCCCTCAACTCTACAGTCCGCAGAGCAGAATTGAAGGGACTAAAGCCTGGGGGCACTTATGTCATTTGTGTGGTGGCTGCTAATGAGGCGGGGGAGAGCCAGGTTCCTGGGACAAGTGGGGAGGGCCCCGAGAGGATGGCCTTTCCTTCCTTTGGACCTTGCAGTCGACTCTCTATGCCTCCAAGACCTGTCACCTTGGTCCACGCAGCTGTGGGGGTGGGCATAGCCTTGGCCCTGCTCAGCTGTGCCGCCCTGTTCTGGCACTTCTGCCTGCGGGAACGCTGGGGCTGTCCACGCCACAGAGTTGCAGGCGCACTGTAACGGGAGCCTGGGGACAACTCTGGTGCGGCCCAGCCCCACCTGAGGCCCTTCCAGGGGTGGGTGGATCAGTTGGACAGCCAAGCCAGAGCAAGGGCCTAACAATTGGGCCACAGCCAGAGTCTCTGGGTTGAAAACATGTTTAGGTCTTGGACTTGTCATTTTGCTCCCTGCTGAGGACTAGGAAGAAGTAGCAATTTTGCTTTAAAAGGTGAGGTAATAAATGATTTACACTTTATGGGCTCAAAAGGATAAAAATCAAGGACATTATGTAGGTATTTCTCTAACCATTTAAAATGTAGTCATTTAAAGATGTAAAATTTTAGCTCTTAGGCTTTACATGCTTGGCAGCAGGCGAGATAGAGCTTGTTGGCTGCAGTTTGCTGTTTGCCAACCTCTATCATACACTCTCCAGAGGGCTCTGTCACTGTGAGTGGCTTCAGTGGGATTTGTTTATTCATTTGTTTGTGGTGCTGGGGATCAATCCCAGGGCCTCGTGCATGCTAGACAAGCACAGTACCACTAAGCTACATTCCCAGTCCCTTCAATGGGATTTTGAGAATAAGATTCTGCAGGATGGAAGTTTGGAATTGAAGCCATGCCTTCTCCAACCTTTGATTTGGTCACTGAGGATGAGCACACCTGGTCTGAGTCCAACTGTGTCTGTAAAGAAATTAAGGATGAAGGCCAGGCACCAGTGGCTCATACCTATAATCTTAGCTACTCGGGAGGCAGAGATCAGGAGGATGGGGGTTCAAAGCCAGCCCAGACAAATAGTTTGAGACCCTATCTCAAAAACCCTTCACAGAAATAGAGATGGTGAAGTGGCTCAAGGTGAAGGCCCTGAATTCAAGCCCCAGTACTGCAAAGAGAAAGAGAGAGAGAGAGAGACATTAAGGTTAAAGAAGAGAGAGGAGGTTCAAGCTGCTGGCTGGCACAAGTTAGTGTTCTTGTTAATGAAAACAAAATCAACAGTAATATCAAGGATTTCTCTCCTCCATCCATTTGTATTTTTTGTATATCCACTGTCCTAATATTAAAGGAAATTTAAAAGGAAGGCATTCTCAGTTTTCATGATTGATTTTTTTTTTTTAGATAGGGCCTAGTGAACTATTTGCTAGGGGCTGGCTTCAAACTACAATCCTCCTGATTAACTGAGTAACTAGGGTTACAGGTGTGAGCCACCAGAACCCCGCTCATAATCCCTTTCAATTCCCAGTCTATATACCTATTCTTCAAAATAGTATACATACTTTTTTTTTTTTTGGTAGTACTGGGGTTTGAACTCAGGGCCTCATGCTTGCTAGGCAGGTACTCTACTACTTGAGCCACATCCCCAGCCCCCTCCCTTTTTCTTTTCCCTGAGACAAGATCTTGATACATAGCCCAGGCTAACCTCAAACTTTCCTGCTCAGTTCTCTGGAGTGCTGAGATTATAGGCTATGCCACCACACCCAGTTTTACTACACACACTTTTAAATTTATTTTTAAATTAAACGTACAGAAAACTCTGCTTTGGGTTGCTACACAGTATTCAAGCTCGCTTTTACTGTTCTTATAACTTTTTTTTTTTTTGAGGGGCTGGGGATCAAACACAAGGCCTTGTTGCATGCTAGGCAAGTGCTTTATCACTGAACTACATCTCCAGCAAAGTCCTGGGATTGATTTCCAGCAGAAAGCAGTAATTACCTTTAGCAGACAAGATTTTTTTTTTTTTTTTTTTGCAGTACTGGGGTTTGAACTCAGGGCCTACACCTTGAGTCACTCTGCCATCCCTTTTTCTCAAAGGGTTTTTTCAAGATAGGGTCTCATAGAACTATTTGCTGGGCTAGCTTCAAACTACAATCCTCCTGATATCTGCTTCCTGAGTAGCTAGGATTACAGGCGTGAGCCATTAGTGCCCAGCTAGCAGAGAAAATCTTAAGGAAATATTTTCTTTAATTCATTGTTTACTTATAAACAATGTTGTAGGTTGGTTGGTAAATCATAGCCTCCTTCTTATATTTTAAAGGCTGAATAATTTTCTATAGGAGGATGTGCTTTGTTTATTTACTACTTTTTTGTGATACTGGGATTTGAACTCAAGGTCTCTAGCTTGCTAGGCAGGGTCACTACCACTTGAGCCACTCTCTGAGCCTGGCAGAATGCACTTTAAAGGACTTTAACCATCCATCCTTGTTGGAACACTTATCTCCAATGGACATCCTTCTCTGTGTAGCCTTCCATGTTTTTTGTATTTCTACAGGGTACTTACCGGAAATAGGTCAAAGGGGCAGTAGTATAAAATTTAATCCTTCTTTTATTATCAGACCTCAAGAATAAATGTAGAATAATTTGTTATCTCAAAACCAGCTGGGACTGGAGGTGTGGCTGAAGCAGTTGAACACCTGCTTTGCTAGTTTGAAGCCCTGAGTTCAAACCCCAGTCCTACCCACCACCCAAAAAAAAGTTCAGATAAAATTAGTATTATACTGAGTGATTACCTTGTGACTTTTTTTTTTTCCAGTATTGGGACTTGAACTTGCTAGGCAGGTGCTCTTACTGCTTGATCTACTGTACCAACCCTTTTTGTGATTGGATATTTTCGAGATAGCTTCTCAAGAACTATTTCCCTGGGCCAGCTTTGAACTTCGGTTTTTCTGTTCTCTGCCTCCTGAGCAGCTAGGATTACAGGCGTGAGCCACCAGCTCCCCACTGCCTTGTGACTTTTTATTTCATACTTGTCTTTCTTCAGAATTTGTACATTTATGAATAACAAGAAGGCTTACTTTCTAATTAATAAAGACATACTTTACATGCATTCTCACTTATTCTTTATTACAATCACTCCAAGAGACAAGGTGAGAGATTTGAGATTCTAAATAGTTTGAAACCACAATAGAGAGATGAGTTAGGATTCAGGTCTAAGCTGTTCAACTCTAAAGCTGATGCTCTTCTCTTTACTCTAGAAGAGGCAACAGTGGTTTAGTGAGAACACACTGCATGGGTTGAATCCTAGCTCTACTAATTACTACCCTTGGGACCTTAGATAAATTATCTCATATTTCCATGACTGGTTGTAATGACTAAATATGAATTAATCATATAAAAGTCTCTAGTGCATATATCAATAACACTTAATAAACATTTTTAATAACTTAAGTATTTATTTGTTTACAACTAAGCTTGTTAACACTATATAATGAAGATGAACAAAGAATACTATTGGAATTTTTGGTTAGATTTAAGTCAAAGACATTCATTAATAAAGGAATCTTAAAATGGATCAGAACAGTTGTCTCTGAATATTACCTTACTTTGAAAGGTATTGGCGTACATTTTAATTAAACTCAAGTATTTTTCAAAATAAGCCATAATTAAAATATATATATATATTCTAGCCAGACACTGGTGGCTCATACACGTAATCCTTATCTACTGAGGAGGCTGAGATCTGGAGGATCTCCATTCAAGACCAGCCCAGGCAAATAGTTCATGAGAACAGGTCTCTAAAGTCACCAGAGCAAAATGGGTTGGAGGTGTGGCTCAAGTGGTAGAGTTCCTGCTTTGCAAGTGCAAAGTCCTGAATTCAAGCCCCAGTCCCAACAACAACAACAAATCCTAGTCTACATTCATACAATATTTTCTTGGCAGTACTGAGGTCTGAACTCAGGGCCTTACACTTGCTAGGCAGGCACTCTACCACTTGAGCCACTCCACCAGCCCTTTTTAGTGTTGGATGTTTTGAAATAGGGTCTAAAGAGCTATTTCCCCATGCTGGCTTCAAACCACAATCCTGATCTCTGCCTCCTGAGAGACTAGGATTACAGGCATGAATCACCAGCTCCTGGCTTCAAACTAAAACAATTTTAATAGAATTCTTCCTTCCAAAAACTATAGTAAAGGAAACAAGGCATTTTGCAGAATGTGGTCAACAAGTCACAGAAAAAATAAAGGTATACTTAACTTCTACCTCCTCAAAACAGAGGCTATTTTCTGTCCCACAGCCTTGGAAAGGAAATGAGAAACAGTCCAGAAGCAACATCCAGCAAGGGGTTGCCAAAACAAAGTTTAAGCAGTTGAACATGGATGCCTCAGAAGAGTTTGGAGGAGCCTGACCAAATGACCCAAATTTTAATAGCTGACAGAAAAGTGAAGTGGTTCCTCTCAAGTAGCAGTGCTGCCCAGGCCTGGTCCAGCCTGTGCTCACCTATGTTATGCTCCTGAGCAAAACCTGATGCATCTGCTCTAAGGGAGACCTTTTCCCTGGATAAGTTCAGCAAGAATTTTTTTGTGTGAGTGAATGCAGACTCCACAGGGCATTTTGTTTTGTTTTTTATTTTTTAAAGATAGGGTCTTCCGACTATTTGCCTGGGCTGGGATCGAACTGTGATCTTCCTGATCTCTGCCTCTAGTATTACAGGTGGGAACCATGAGAGCCCAGAGCATAGGGTATTTTAAGGCTAGGAGTCAGAGTATTTTTCTAACACAGCTAGGCAGAGTCCATGTGTCCATGGCCCATCTCTAGTTTGTTTTAATTTCTCACCACACAATTGTAGATCTAGGACCTCAGAACTTCTATATATCTAATGTCCATTCTAACTTCTTTTTTTTGGTGGCAATAGGGTTTGAACTTAGGCCCTCATGCTTGCTAGGCAGGCGCTCTCGTGGCTTGAGCCACTCTGCCAGCCCTTTTTTCTGATGGGTTTTTTCAAGATAGGATCTTGAGAACTGTTTTGCTGGGGCTGGCTTTGGACTGGAATCCTCCTGATTCCTATTTCCTGACTAGCTAGGATTATAGGCAAGAGCCACCATTGCCTGACTCCATACTAACTTATGATTCATACTCTGTGCCTGGAAACAGTCCATGTCTAATAAACATTTGAGGAGTTGGTGGAGTGGTTCAAGTGGTAGAGTGTCTGCCTAGCAAGTGTAAGGCCCTGAGTTCAAGCCCCAACACCACCAAAAAAAAAAAAGAAAAAAATTATATCATCTTTAGCTGGGTGCTGGTGGTTCACGCCTTAATTCTAGCTACTCAGGAGGCAGCAATCAGGAGGATTTCGGTTTGAAACCAGCCCAGGAAAATAGTTTGAGAGACCCTATCTCGAAAAAACCCATCACAAAAAAGGGCTGGCTCAAGGTGTAGGCCCTGAATTAAAAAAAAAAAAAAATTTGATGTGAGCTTCAATTTGGGTATTGTGATTCAGGCCTGTAATCCCAGCACTCATGTGGCTCAGGCGGGAGGGCTGGGAGTTCAAGACTAGCCTGGGCTACACAGCAAGACCTTGTCTCAAAATAAATGACTAGGGACATGGCTCAAGTGGTAGCTCACCTAGGAAGTGAAAGGCCTGAATTTAAACCCCAGTACCACAAAATAAATAAAAAATAATAAATAAATAAATAATATTTAAAAAAAAACATAAAATGAGTTTCAGTATTGGCATGATGGTGCACGTCTGTAATCTCAGCTATTTCAGAGCAGAGGCAGGAGTATCGAGTATCACAAGTTTGAAGGAAGACTGAACAATAAATCAAAACCACATTTCAACAAAACAAAATTTAGTGCTGTGGAACACCAAGTGATTTATGATGAGTACACAGCAGGGGAATAATGTGTAATGGAGTAAATACTGGAGGTGGAAGGAAGAAAAGGGTGGTCAAAGCAGGCTTTCTTCAGAAGGCAAACTCTG